ATTTTCCTGTGGTGAGTCATTACAAATTGTAAGTGTCCATTTACCTTTGTACATTTTGAGAAAGCCTCCAATTTATAAAATCCACCAAGGCATTTTTAGTACTTTCTCATAAGGTTATAGTTACATGAATAGAAATATAAATAAATATAACAACTATATAAAATTCTAAATATCATAAACTGGTACATAAGTAAATACATTGGAACTACTGGCAATAGATTACAAATTATGGAAAAATGTAATTGTACATATTACCTACAAGCACCCTCCTTGGGTGGTTTCCAATGAAATAAATCTTTATGGAAGTAGATTGCCCCAATCTGCCTTCCTCAGAGCAGCTGGTGGGTTTGAACCATCAACTTCTGGTTAACAGTCAAATGCCTTAGGCATTGCACCACCAGAGTTTCTGAACTGTACATTATTAGGGAGTTATATTCCCACTGTCAAGTAAAGTAAAACAATAAAATGAAATTTAAAAATTATTAACATTATTTCAATGAGTTAAGTACTATATAGGACCATTTATTTGTCATCACTGGAAAATACGCCTGTTAAATATATTGTACACTAAGAATCATGTCAAAACAGGTTTAGAGTAGAAAAGAGAGAAATCAGAAAAGATGAGAATGTGTGTGTGCATTTGGGAGTTATGATGGGTAGCTTTTCAGATGTCACTTTCATTCCCTAATCAGTTTTAGTAAGTTCTTTACACATTTTGTCCCCTTCGATTTAAAAGGAACTTCAGGTTTACTGGAAAACAATCACATAGATTACATAATCACTTTTTCTAGTAATACAGAAGGTACAGTCCCTTTTTGTAGTGACTCAAAGAGTTCTCATATACTTACAATGGAGTAAGAACAGACAACACTACAGAAACCACCAGGCATTGCAAGTACACTGCAAAAATTCAGCTTGAATATTAGAAATTTATTCAAATTTTAGAAAGGACTTCCCTCACTCATTTTCACTTTAAATTTTAACAAAAAATTTACCACAATACATTATTTTAGGACTGTTGCATTTTAAAATAGTGTTTTCAAGATCTCAGTCAATCTGATCTCAACTATCTGAATGTGTCGACTTCTTTCAGCATTCCAGTATGACCATAAGGATTTTTGTAGGAATGTCCTGCATTGAGAGAATTTTCTATTTTACTGAATGTATTTTCATTGTCCATGCAATTTAGCTATGGTGTTACTACCACCAGTATTTAATAATGTGTAGGAAAAGATGTAATTGTCTAAAATATAATGGAGTGATTTTGAAAGTTCTTATTGTAAAATTTATATAAGCACATATCTATGCATAAAGAGGGAGTTCTGGTGGCATAGTGCCTAAGGAATTTGACAGCTAAACAGAAAGCTGGTGGTTCAAACCCTCCAGCCACTCCTTGGAAGGAAGGTTGGCAACCTACTTCTGTAGTGATACAGCCTCGGAAAACCAAGGAGGGTTGACTATGAGTTGGGTCCGACTTGACGACACATAACAACAGCGACAACATACATAAGGAAGCCTATATACAAAAAAATCCATTCTTTCTTTCTTCAAATGGAGCTAAATTATGGAAGTTAAAATATCATTGTTATGGAAAATCATTAATAACAGATAGTTTTTCATTACCTCCACTGGGAAGAAATTGCTTTTCCTAGGAAATATGCAGAAAATAATTCAGTGGATTCAGGCATGTTCTCAAGACCAGAATAGCACCTTTAAAATGTTAAACTGTTCTTAATTTTCATGAAGGTGTAAATATACCACCAGATGTACTTCAGATTCTTTATTAGGAAAAAAAAAATCCCATCTATGAGTCAGGATTTAGGCTTAATATATAATTATTTAAATTAGAGTGTGTGTTTAGAATATAACAGAATGGAAGTGGTTGAAAGGAAAGTATTTCCAAAAAGCAATGCAATGTTTGAATTAATCTGCTCTCTTTCTTTATTGTATGTCTATAATGGATGAAAAAGTTCATCAGAAACTTGAGAGGTATGGTGCCTACTGAATTCAGCAGAAAACACTTTTTCATTGAGTGTGAACAACAATTAGAAAGAATATTCAGAGTGAAAAGTAGATTGAGTTTCAGTGATACATCATTGCCTACAGTCAATCATCTTTTTTCATTAAAAACCAGCCATAGGTATGTGGTAAATAAGTCTGTTGTCACCCAAAAGTTGTGTTTTTGGTTTTTTTGCTGATGTTTTCAGGGGCACTCTACAAGAACAAACATGCACAATGACATTTCTGGAGTTTAATAAAATATATCTTAATGCAGATATATTTTATTAAACTGCTGAATCAGGAATTACCCTTTTTTTTCCCCCAGTCATCTCAATACTACTATTCCACATAGTATACAAAATTAGGTGTAAAACCATATATCACCAAGAATAAAAAAAACAAACTCATTGACATCGAATCGATTTGACTCATATATATGAAGCATAAATAAATAATAAGTAAAGATCGAAATATGCTTCTTGTTATTTCTATGTCTACCCCAGGTCATCATGAATAAGTACTTATGTCTTTTAAATGACAGGTGAAATCTAGAAATTTTTTAAGGGAGAAGATGGTACAAAAGATCTGCTGGTAAATTAAGAGAGAAAAAAGTTGTCACTCATAAAGGAATGAAACTTGGAACAGAAAATTGAATTATAATAGGATAAAAGAGCATAAACAATCATATACTCAGTCTATCATGGTATAAAGTATATGGTGCTATTTTCAGTTGCAAAGGTAATACTATTTTGTTTTTTTCTAAATTTTTAATTTGTATCCTCTACTTTAACTATAAAATATCCCTTCATTTGTTAGATCAAAAAATCTAAATTAAACAGGAAACTCTAAGATATATTTTTGTGTAACTCATAGTGATAAATGTGTGTAAAATAATCAATTATGGGTAATCACCACTTAGGAAATACTTGACAAAGTAACTATTTCACTTTCAGAAGCTTATTCACGCATACTTATCTGAAAAGTTATTTTTTAATAGAATAAGAAGCCTAAATAATAATTAAACTACATAGAACTACTCTTCAGAAAATTAATTTCTGAAAAGAAAATTGAACAATTTAATTCCTATCAGTTTGTAATCAGTACTTTCATTAATATCATTCTTTTTATATATACCATTATAAAAACACAACAAATTAATTTAAAAATTGAATATACCATATAATATACCATTATTATAAAAAGGAAGGTATGACACAAAGCCTTCTAAATTAAAATATCTTAAATCATTATTATCACACATATTTATAACTGAAACTAAAACTTTACTGGCTTCTTTATGTGTACCTGTCAATGTTCATGGCTAAGAAAGAAAACTTAGTCAAAGAAAGAACCTGCTGAAGACTTTTAACTTTCATGGCTGAATTTGCCCAGAGTCAGAATAATTTGGACATGCCTTTAGAAAGGGAAAAGCCTAGCTACTTAGCTAATTTTAGCAGCCTACCTATGGTCTCTCAACATCCTTACCTCCTCAGGTTATCTTTCTGGGGTTCACACTTTTTATAACATCTCTCTCTATCTCTGGTCTTGAGTCCAGTTTACTTTATCTGTGATGTCAGAAACTGGCAGCCAGCAAGCCCAGTCATGCCTCAGATAGGTTTGTCTGGCCTGTACATTGTTGAAAGTGATATATCTATATTTATATCTATATGTTAATATAGTAAGTGACATTAAGCAAAATGAATTTAAACATTCAATTTGGAGTTCCACCTGAATAACAGGAACTTCCAGTGATCTTGGGAGACTTTTTCCACACAGCAGCAATCAACTTGAGAGAGGATTTCCAGAGACCAGATGTGCAACTCTAATTTTTTACAGTCTGCACTATTCCTTATTGTCTTACTGATGCCACCAGTTACTACTTGACACCATAGCCATAATTTTCTTTGTGTTACGCTCAGTCTCTGAGAATTGGGCGTAGTAGCCTTGAATGCTGATGTTTCTTCCTGCCACTCTCTAGCAGCCTAATCTGCTTAACTGATACAGACATATCTCGTTTTATTGTTTCACATTATTGAGTTTGCAGACAGTTTTTTTTTTTTTTTTTACAAATTTAAGGTTTATGGCAATCCTGTGGTAAGCAAGTCTATTGATGCCATTTTTTCAATAGCATATGCTCACTGTGTATCTCTGTCACATTTTAGTAATTCTCACAATATTTGAAACTTTTTCATAATACTATTGCACACTTATTAGACTACAGTATAGCATAAACATAACTTTTATATTCACAGGGGAAACAAAAAATTCAAGTGACTTGCTTTATTGCAGTACTCTGAAACCTAACTCACAGTATCTTGGAAGTATGCCTATAACTTGATTTTGTTTCTAGATCCAGGTGCTTACTCTGGCCCAGGACTTTTTCCTATAATCTTATATTTTTCAATCTCAAATTTTCCCCAAAATAGATTTTATTTAAATGTGCCTATTCTGATTATATTTTTATTAATTTTAAGATTTAAAACTGCTCTCCCTCATGTCATTAAGTTACACATAAAAATTTGACTGTTGTCAAATTTACATATTAATTATAAAAGAAAGGAAATTTGAAGAAAGCTAAGAATATAACTTAATGGCAATTATATTAAAAAAAAATTCCCATGATTACATTCTATTAAAATATTTGATTGCAATTGCAGAGATTTAAACAAAGATTTAGAAGAAACAAGCTTATAAAACTGTATAGTAACAATCTACTGTGACAAAGTCTTCACATTTGTCCTTTTCTTCAAAGTACCATTTTTATGATTGCTTAACAGCTGAACTTCAAAGTGTAAATGTGTTTCCTCTTTGTTTTTCAATAAAACACAAGAGTTGCAACTTTGAAATGCATATTGTCACTGGCAATAAAATTCATGTTGTCCAAATAACTGGTGTGTTTATAGTTGAAAGAAAAGGCAGGTTATAGGTTTACTTTGACCTTTCATTAAAACTAAGCAAAATTTAATATTTCAATTGCTTTGTTCAATAAATGGACTCACCGCTGCAATGTACTCCTTCATCATACCCATCAGAGCAGTCCAAGATACCGTTGCACAGTTGAGACAAATGAACACATTTGTTGGTACCAAGGCAAATAATATGATTCAAGGGGCACTTGAGTTCTATTTCCTCTGGACCTGGAATAAATATAAAAAGGAACAGAATTTGTGCATGTTAGCTTTGCCTTTTCAATACTAAAACTCCTAAGCACAATTACCGGCATTAGTTTAGAAAACAAAACTAAAGAATATATTATCATAGGGTAGCTGTCACAGACCTCTCATTCTACTCATAATTAAGAAACAACAGAATAATAATTCAAAGACTTAGAGAATAGCCTGTGTAATTAAAATTCTAATTTTGAAAGTTTGACAGGAAATGGAAGTTTATTTTTCAAATACTTTGTTAAAAACACATTTTGATTTGTCTTTTGTCTACCATCAAAATAGCATGGATTTAAAAATCTGAGGGTTGTTCATTACTCAATATCATTGTTCTACTTCATTTCTTTAGATGAGTTGGCAGGGTATGCAAACTCTTGAGTCTCAATTTCCTCAACTGTCATATAGGTAAAACAGCAATAGCTTAGCAGAACCCTTGTGAAAGTTATATCAGACAACATGAATAAAAAGATATTTGTGAAGCTTTAAATTAAGTTGTGGTAACCTAAAATTTATTTACTTTTTATCAGTTATTTGAGATTAAGAAGAACAGTTCATTATATAGTTTTGTTATTTATGGATTCTTTTATTTCAAAATAATTATTGAACTGCTATAATGAGGTAGAATTTACTACAGGATGGGGAGGCAATGATGAACAGGGCATGCTCACTGAGTTTGCCTGCTGGTACTAACTGCACTTTGTATCATGTTATTAAAGATAAACTTAAGTAGAACATAAAATATTTTTTCCCAAATTCAATACATCTCAATTTTTATCAGACACCCAAATAGTCACTTTCTATACTATTTCTATTTCAGACTTCTAATTCCCAAATCTTATCTACACTTCTACAGACCTTTGCCATGTTTCCCGTATGATTTTCAGTTTTATTTAGCTCTCTCAAATGTATTAATATGACACTAATTACTGCTAAGTCCCAGAATCAAGTTTAATCACAGCCCTATCAATAGCTCTGGGGGATTTATTTATGTAATAAACTATGCATCAGTGTGTTTTTTCATATATAAAATTGGAATATCCCTGAGCCTACCATGTAGTGTTATTGTGAATGTCAAAAAGTACTGAATGTCAAGCTCAAAGCACTGTGAGAAGCAAGCTAAGATCAGGAATTTAACATACATTCATCATGCAAATAAATCCAGTGTAGCATTTATTTATATCAGATTGTGGAGCCAGATTATTGGGACTAAATTCTAGCTCCATCACTTATAAACTAAATGACTTTGGCAAATTATGAACTGATTATGTGCCTCAGTTTTCCTAAAGTTATAAGAATACTGCCTGGCAAACATTAAATATGTGCTTGCCATGATCATAGGTAAGTAAAGATTCTGTCCCAAGAAGGCATGTTGCCCTTTGGAAAACACATCTCATTATTTTTTGCTGAAAGCCTAAAAGGGGCAAAAAAAAAAAAAAGGGCTCAAAAATGTCATAAGCTTTGTTGTCATTACTTAGGGTGAAACAATCAACAATGAAAAAGTCAAAGTAAGATATTCTGGTATATGGAATATTATGAGAACTGCAAAAAAAATAATGATGTGACATAATTTAAAAACAAAGAAAAAAGAAAATCAAGCTTATTACACAAATAAAAACTAATATCACCAAGAGTAAGGTGTGATATTTTAAATTCCTTATTAAATATCAATAATAGATATGTTTGCTTATTGTAGGTTCCTCACAACCTTTTGCTTTGGGACTGTAAACATGTTTTTATGATGTAGCTTCACTAGCTGAAGTGTTGCCAGTAACAGTTTGCTCTCTAGTTTTTCATGTATACTTACACAATTACTGCTAAACAAGGCTATTCATTATGTCAAACACCTGTCACCCCAAGTGCACAACTCATTTTACTGTAACATGTCTCTGTAATTTGAGGGTAAATATTTCTGCAAATATACATCTAATTTCATATATATGATTAAAGTACAAATACATAAATATAAATCCAAATCACAGGGATAAAAGCAAGTGAAATAATTTTCAGTCTTAGCTATTTCATCTTACACTTGTGAGAACTAATGTAAATTAATTTTAAAAGTAATATTAAAAGATATGAAGTAATTTTGAAAAATAGCAAACTTCTAAAACCAACAGCCACCAAGTAGTTATTTTAAAAACGAATTGGCTGATTCTTAAAATGTTAAGTGTACTGCCCTTGTATAAATATCAAAGTAGTGTTTTGGCCAGTTTTATTTAGATCTCTCTGCAAAAACAACCTATAGAAAGAATACTTTATAATCCTGGGAGATTTTATAGGTAGAGACCCAAAATAATGACTCAGTAAGATATCGGATGAACATGATATCAAACACCAAACCTGTTGCTGTCATGTTGATTCTGACTTACAGCCACCCTGTAAGTTCAAACCCACCAGACACTCCTTGGAAGGAAGATTGGGCAATCTACTTCTGAAGTTACACTGCCTCGGTATTTTTAGTTATGTTGTTGTTGTTGTTATGTGCCGTCGAGTCGGCCCCGACTCATAGCGACCCCTCCTTGGGTTTCCGAGGCAGTATCACTACGGAAGTAGGATTGCCCAACCTTCCTTCCGAGGAGTGGCTGGTGGGTTTGAACCGCCAGCCGTCTGGTTAGCAGGCAAGTGTCTTAGCCACTATGCTACCAGAGCTCCCTTTATAGGACAGAGTAAAACTTCCCTAGAATTTCCAAGCCTGTAGTCTCTGTAGTAGCAGACAGACCCATCTTTCCCCCAGGGAGTGGAGAGTTCCAACTACAGCCCTTTTATTAGCAGTCAAGCAATTAACCATTGCCATGTCAGGTCTTCTCCCATTAACATGATATAAAACACTGGTGTCACTAGGGCTCCTGATGAACATAACAGTAGGAGTGAAATGACCATCCAAAGACCGGTAGAAAGGCTCAGCTACTTAAAATTTTGACAAATAAGACAAATGTTTGAATTTATCAAAGGTATTATATATACCTAAGGCATTTGACTGTAACCAGAAGGCTAGCAGTTCAAACCCAAGAGGCACTCCTGGGAAGAAAGATTGGGTGATCTATTTTTGTAGTGATATCCCCTCAGAAACCCAAGGAGAGGTTGCTATGAGTCAGCTTCAACTTGATGGCAGTGAGTTTGGTTTTGTTTTATTACAGTCTTTTTGGAAGTAATATGTAGAAACAAAAGAGAAATTAGTTTGAAAGAACTAAAAGTTTACTTGACTTCTTTATAGGATTAGCATTATAGTCTTCTTCTCTTTGGCTTGTTTTCCTGCATCACTGCGTAACTGGTAGATAGCGGGATTGTAGTTGCATGGGCTGTACTTTTACCAGTCCTTTCCAAATTATCA